CCAAACCCAGCCCAAAACCCATTAACACGAATTTTACCCGCGTTGACCGGGTTGGATCGGGTATGTACCCGTGAGTTCGGATTTTGTTGCTCAACACCCATTCGAGGGGGAAATTCAACTTGAAAATTATAAACACTGGTAATCAGTAGGGGTGTACATGGGTCTGTTGGTTCGGGTTTAAGTATTTTAATCACCCGACCTATGCACTACGGTTTGGAAATTATCAAACCCAAATCCACCCAAAAAAATTTAAACCCTACGGTTTGTTTCTAATTGGGTTGGGTCGGGTTGGCGATATTTTTAAGTAAAAACCCAACCCAACATAAAATATATAATTATTATAAACCATAAAAATATTTTATAACTAATTAAAATTTCAAACTAATAAACCGAGGTGAAAGGTGTCAAAATTCACAAATGTTGTTTGAGTTTTAATAAAATGTGATTTACTTCAACATATGTCTAGTTTTTTTTCACGATATTTGTTGAAATAGGCTAAAAAGGTTATAAACAAATGCATCCATATTATGTTATTCTATTAAAATTGTACACAAGAAAAAGGATTACGTGAATCATAACTATATTCAATTTATGTCTAAACTTTAAGTCGAAGAATGCATTAGATTAGGGAGACCATGATAGAAAAACATGGCGAAATATCTTAATTTTCACATAAGTATGGCTATATACGACATAAATATTTTCTAGATACGAACTCATACTAATAGTTGGAACACGGGTTGGGTCGGGTTCTACGAGTTGTGTAATCCAAAATCCAAACCTAACCCAAAAGAGGCGGGTTGTACAAAATAAAACCCTCACCCAACCTAAAACCTTTGTTTTAGCGATAAATACGGATGGATTGGGTCGGGTTGGACGGGTGGATCGGTTTGCGGGTGTGTTTGTTCACCTCTAGTAATCAGACTAGTTTCCGTAACGGTTTCATCTGTTCTTATATTATAATATTTTCCGCCATTGGGCTGTTGACTCCTTCTAGGCTCGAGTTCTTTCAGTTTGGCCCATAAATACTTGAGAGAAAGATGGGCCCAGAACAATCTTATTGGCGAAATCTACAAGATATATAAAGGCAAAACATGGGTTGGAATTCTCCCATTTCAAATTTCGTGGCCTGAGAGTGATTGTAGGAAGGTCATTTTTGTCATTGCACCCACTTTATCTTTATATATTAAAAATGTTATCATTGGAGTTCGAACCTGGATCAATTAAATGAAGAAAAAGCATTATAACCAACTAGGCTACATTATATCTATTGTTATTTCTTTGATTAAACTCTAGGAATATGTTTGGTGATGATGCTTCTATATTTATATTTTATCTTTAAGTTATTTATATTTTATAGAATGAGATTAGTTCTGAAATCGGAACTCAAGTAGTATTGATTCAAAATTTAATATTAAATTGTATGTGTAGTTTAGTTTAGACAAACTATAGAAGTGTAACCAAAACATGGACCTTTGTAACGAGTATAGCATTTTTTTGTGACAAATCTATACATAATATAATGACAAAATTGGAAAATGAGAGTCTTCTTTTAAATTTTGTGGACTGAGAGTGATTTTAACATTTATGATTGTTTTTATCTTGGTGTTGTGAATATGTAAAAACTTAATTATTAGAATGCATGTAACTATACGCAGACACATGATCGAGCTAGCATGACACAGTTAGAGCATACAATGAAGACAATGTATATGGATCGACCTATACAAGTATGAATGCTTCATGGGTCATACCTGACTTAAACTTCAAGCGCTCGCGCACAAGTGCGAACACCACATAGTCTATATTGGTGCACTCATGTTTTATGGAGAAATGCGCCATTTGAGAGGAATAAGCGGCCATTTGGTCGCCAGGTTTCAGGTCCTCTGATTCACACTATTGATTGTGAATGGAGAAGAAGCATTTCGAATGCAAAATTGGATAAGTAATTGGGATGTTTCTAGGTTTCTCTCAATTTCAGGCGGTGGGAAGAAAGAGGAAGGAAAGGGGGAGAGTGGTGAGATACAAAGCTCAGAGAGAGAGAGAGAGAGAGAGAGAGAGAGAGAGAGAGAGAGAGAGAAATGGAAAAACAAAGAGGATTATCGACGACCCTCTGGGCAAGTGTAGCCATCACTGTCTCATCCATCCTAATCCACACCTCTGTTGATATGACCTCGAGGATCTAAGCCTTTTAGAATGATTAACTTAGCGGTGGAAGGGTAATACCTGCTGGCATCTCAAAGCAAACCCGTCATTCGCCGCTGGAGCTTCGTCGACTAGAGAAGGAGTTCATCGGATCGATCTTCTCACCCTCCGCTAGAGGAAGAAGAGGCGAACTGTAGCAGCTTCGTTCGATGGGGAGGTCGAGTTTGGGGGAGGCTGGGAGAAGAACGATGGGAGCTGGGGTTAGCAAAACGACGTCGTTGGTCTAAGTGAACAAAAGGAGAGAAAAATGTGGCAAAGGGATTCGAACGTTGGGCTCATTAAAAGGAATGAGTTCATAACCCAATGCGCAACGGGAGGAAATTCGTCTCTCATTTTCCAGCAAAGGATGTTTTATTGTTTCCGCCCAACTGCCTCTTTTATTCCCCATGATTTTTTCCAACGATAATGAAATTGCAAGTGAACACATTTCTTACAATTTGTTTTTTATTTTATTTTTGTTGTCACAGCAGAAAACAGAAAACAAAATGGCAAGTGAACGAGGCATAAGAGAGAGTGAGAGAACATATTCAAACGAGGGGGGGAAATGAGGTAGTGTGAAATAATTGTCCTTCTGCTTTGCTTAGTGGGTATTCTTTGCCCTGTTGAGTTTTGATTTATTTTAGGAGATGACATTATATTTGATAGATTTTTTTCATTTCGATTAAGAGGTCGTTTGAAAGTTGCGATTGTTTTGTTGAGATTTACTATACATGTATTGTTTAGAATTCATCATTTTTAATATTTTTTAGTAGAACCAATACATGGATTACATCTGTGATGTGACCGAAACTATCAATCAAAATGAGTATTGTTAAATCTCAAATTTTAGTTGTTATTGTTGAGATAGTTTAGTTGGGATTGTTTTGTCTAAACTTTTAGCTTATGTGACATACACAATGCATCTAATCCGACAATACATATATAATATTATACATACATTCACAACACAATATCTATTTAACAATCGCAACTTCCAAATGACCCCATAAAATCCTAAATCAGTATTATCATTTGGATGATTTTTTCCTTAATACGATTATGGTAATTTATGAGATTTAAGGGTATTTGATCATGCCAATATTTTAGTGGTTTTTTTATTAAAGTTTGAATTGAAAGATCGTACATACTGGCGGTTCGACCATAAAACTTCACACCATAGGCTAAATCGATAGGTGATATTTAGCAATATGAAACGGTTGAACCACAGTTAAATTATGATTCAGTATAAAATACTTTGCTGTCAAATTTTTTTTATATTATTGTAATCATTTGGTTCAACCAATTCTTTTACACTGGTGGAAACAGAAGTTTTAAGGCACATTTTGAACTATCTATTGCAAAAAAACATAAGTCAGTTAGCGATAATGAGAATATGCGATCTTATTCAACCCAAAAGACACTTTGCAACTTCTATATTTTTAAAATAGATGTATGTTACTTATACCCTTGCTCATTCATCAACTTATGAGTACTATATATTTTATGTAATATGATTTTCATAGGTTTTTATTTATTGAATTATTTCAAGAAACAAATATTTGCTGCATGAAAATTACTACATTGGTGTTAAACATGTCTGCGATTTGAGAATAATTTTGGAAATCCATACACAACACATTCTCCAACTATTAGCGACAATTTAACATCTTGTCCTATATATATTTCAAATCATGCAACTTCAGATTATTATCAATGGTGTGGTAAAAAAGAATGCTCTCTATTGGGAAAAACTTAACGGACATACTAAACTCTATGAGAGACATTGTCTTTCATCTTAAAGGTTGATTATGTATGTATTATGATAAACAACTCTAATATTCAATTATATGGTTTAATTAAGTAATGGATGACAATTAGTTATATTTATTTCTTTTTTCATTCCATAATTATAAGTAATGCTTATATTATATTTTTCTGTTTTCATGGAGGTCTAGACATATTATGCATAGTTGGATCACTTTCAAAAATGTTATGTGGATAACTAAGTTAGAAAACAATCATTTTGTGCATTTCAAATCCTTTATTATATATTCATTATTATATATCATATTTCTAGACAAAATTCTTCCGGCCAACGGGCCGGGTCCTGTGCTAGTTATTTTATACTTACATAGAGAGGACTAGTCTTCCTCCCTTTCCCTGTTCTTTCTTGTTCCGACCAAATCAGAAACAGATTAACGAACCCTAATCCAATCGGGAAAAGTCTCCGATTATCTCTTCCTATCAATTTCCCTTCGATCAGAAGGGAGACCCTCTCTTTCGATCTGCTCCATTTTACTCTCTCGTGCTATCTCAACGTTGATCTCTATTCATTCTTCTGCGAGCGGAACCTCGAGGCGGATAAACTGGAACGAGCGCTATTTAGCCGGAGGTATTGATCGGTGTGTCTAATTTGAAGCGCATAGTCCGGAAATTTACCAGTTGGATGCACAGGTTCTTTTGATAGTGTCTTAGTAACTTGAACGAGGAATTTTCTGTGTCATGGGAGGAGATTGATTGGATGAGGTGTTCGGATTATGGTTTTATCTTTGACCAGTTGTTTCATCTTCCCATTTGCCACTCAATGTTGAAATCTTGGGTCTTTGTGTCTCGTCTAAGGTGATCAAATTGTGTTGATTGATTGTGCGTGCCGAGTTGATAGATTAACTCGCACATATTGGACATTCGTATTATACATTTCGTTGGTGGGTCGTAGAGGATGGCCTAGTGGTAGTATAGTGGATGTCTATTGAATGAGTTGCTTTATGAACTCTGCAACTGAATCCTTTTGTGGGTTGTGAAGGACATAATCTTTTATGGATGGCAATAACTGGAGGCCTGCTGCTCCTGGCGGAGAAGCTCCCATGGATGGGGGTGACTGGAGAGCTACATTGCAGGTTGAGTCACGGCAAAGAATCGTGAACAAAATGTGAGTTGAATGTTTTTGTGCTCCTGAGTGGTTATTTCTGTTCTGTTCTATTCTAAACTATGCTCTGTGCGTTTCATGTGCTTATTTTTTTTTTTTTTTATAGTTTCTGAGATAACACGATAAATTGGTATTACCAACGGGAGAAACATGGATGTAGTTTATTAGAGCTGCTCTATGAATGAAAGGAAGAAACTGAACTGTGTTTCTTTCAGAAAGTTTATGGGATTTAGGAGCATTGTGTGAATGGTACGGATGTCCTTGGACACAAAAATGAATTTAAAAAAGGAAATGGATAAAGACTATGTATTGGATGTGAGAGGTGTTTGGTAACGGCTTATGGATTTCTCAAGGCATACATATGTTTTAAGAATTTTTTGTGGGGTTTTACCTCCTGATTATTTGCTTCCTTTTTTAATTACGTACTTTTGTTCTCGGTGGTCACTGATTGTGAATGTGACTAAATTATGGAACAGAATGGAGACATTAAGGAGGCATCTACCTCTTTCTGGTCAAGATGGGCAACAAGAATTGAAGAAAATCGCTGTACGATTTGAGGAAAAGATTTATACTGCTGCAACTAGTCAGGTATTTCGATAAAGGCTAGTGATTCTTGTAACAAAATTTCATGAAGTCGCATGCTTTTGGGATAAGGAACTTTCCTGCCTATAACTGTACCTCGAAGATAGGATTGATGATGCACTAATTTTATGTTTTTCCTTTTCTTTGTGTAGTCTGATTATTTACGCAAGATATCTTTGAAGATGCTCACAATGGAGAGCAAATCACAGAATTCTATACCCACTTCTTTGCCGCCTAGCTCAGCTGGCACTGGCAATAAGCCCCCTGATCCAGGAGGTACGGCAGAGTTCTTGTTCTTTTCTACTATAGTCGGAGATTTCTAACTTGTATGGCCTTTTACTTCTAGTTAGTTGTTTTACTATGATGGGGAGAATGTTAATAACCATCTTTGACTTCTTATTATCTATGTCAAACTTTGGGGGAAATGGTATAAAGAGATATGTTTCTGCAAGCACTTTCTGGTTTATGCTAATTGCTGTTGTTCCTATTTCTCTTATTTTGTTTCTTGTTTATTTGTGTCTTGACAGCATCCCCTAGTTTGCAGCCCCAAGTTCACAACCAGGGGCAATCACTTCCCATTCCATTGCCAGGTAATCAAGCTCAAGGACGCCAACAGTTGTTAGCTCAGAACATGCAGAACAGTATGACTTCTACAGGAGTCCAAAGTTCTGCTGGTCTACCGTCTTCATTGCCTCCTGTTTCTGGTATAAACCAGACTCCAATCAATGTCGTTGGCCAGAATGGTAGCATGCAGAACATGTCTAATGTTGCACAAAACCAAGTTGGTTCTTCAATGGGGCAGGGGGTTCCCCCAAACATGTTTGGTAATCCTCAAAGACAGATGGCTGGGAGGCAACAGGTTATGGGCCAGCAGCAACAACAGCAGTCACAGAATCCTTATCTTTATCAGCAATCATTCCAACATCAGATGCTTAAGAGAAATCAAGCACACCCGCCGGTACAAGCACAACATTCGCAACAACAGCAGCCTCAACAAAATGTTATGCAGCCAACTCAGCAATCTGGCATGCAAACATCATCTGTTATGCAGCCTTCATTGATGCAGTCAACTCCTATATCTAATCTTCCCCAGAATCAGCTATCCTCCGCCCAACAGTCAGCACAATCCATCCTTCAGCAGCATCCACAATCTGTCACCAGGCAACAACAACTGCAACAACAGGGTGTTGGTATTCATCAACAGCAGACGCAGATGATGCAGCCGCAATTGCTGTCCACGCCGCAGCAGCCGCAGCTATTGCCAACCCAGCAGCAGCAACAACAACAACAGCAGCAGCCAATGCAATCTCAGCAACAGCTGGTGGGGCAACAGGCTAATGCTGCAACCATGCAGCAGAATCAGTTTGCCGGGCAACAAAACAATATTGGGGACATGCAGCAGCAGCAGCAGAGATTGCTCAGCCAACAGACTAACCATCACAGTCTGCAGCAACAGCAGCAGCACCATTCGATGACTCAGCAGAATAACCTTTCTGGTATGCATCAGCAACAGCTGGGTAGTCAGAGTAATTTCTCTGGTCTACAGCAGCCAACACAGCAGCAACAGTTGCTTGGAGCTCAGTCTGGTAACTCAAGTATGCAGAACAATCAGCATGCTGTAAATATGCTGCAGCAGCAACCCAAGGTTCCTCTATTGCAACAAACACAACAAAATTCTCCTAATTTATTACCAACACAAGGCCAGCAGACACAATCACTAGCATCACAGCAGCAGCAGCAGCTTGGTCTGCAACAACAGCCTGGGCAGTTGCAGCAGCAGCTTGGTCTACAACAACAGTCTAATCCACTGCAAAGGGAAATGCAGCAAAGGATGCAAGCCTCTGGGCATGCACCAGGATCTTTGGTGCAACCTCAAAATGTGATTGATCAGCAGAAGCAGCTATATCAATCACAAAGAGTACTTCCTGAGACATCATCAAGTATATTTCTGAGTCTTTCCTCTAGGTGTAATCTCATTTGATAAAAATGGAGTTGCTTGGAGTTGTGCCAGGTAAGTTTATCCTTACTAATTTTTGTTTCGTTGTAGCATCTCAAGATTCTACGGCGCAAACTGCTCAGGCAAATGGAGTTGATTGGCAAGAGGAAGTCTATCAAAAGGTTGTTTATGCTGTTATATAGGCAGAGTTCTTTCGCCCATCTGTGTATTCCTCTGCATTCAAATGTTGACAACTTTGTACTGATTTTTCCTTTGTAGATCAAAACTATGAAGGAGATGTACTTACCCGAGTTAAATGAAATGTACCAGAAAATCGCTGCAAAGCTGCAGCAGGTAGCTTTTAACTTTTTACATCTGTTCACCAAATATTGTGTCTATTGCTCACTGTTTGTTGAACAATATCTCAGTTGCATCATTTGTCTATAGCATCTATATAGCCTAAGCGAAGAGTGATGATTTGCAGTAGGCATTCTACTCTTTGGTTTCAGTGTATTTGATGTGTTCATTGCCTTTGTTTAGAGTTCCTTCATTTAATGTAGATTTCTTGATTTCTTTCTCATAATTCTGCATTTATTTTTTCATAATTCTGCATTTAAAACTAAGGAATCCAGCTTTGTGTACCTTGTGTTCACTTCTGATAATTCTCCAAGGCTGATAAGTTGTTCTTTTCTCTCCAGCATGATTCTCTTCCACAGCAACCCAAGACAGACCAGCTTGAAAAGTTAAAGATGTTTAAGACTATGCTGGAGCGCATGATATCTTTCTTACAAGTATCAAAAAGCAATGTCTTGATCAGTTTCAAGGAGAAGCTTAGTTCCTACGAGAGACAGATAATAACTTTCTTGAACACAAATAGGCCCAGGAAACCTATGCCTCAAATGCAGCAAGGGCAACTTCCCTCTTCTCACATGCAATCGTTACAACAATCTTCGTCCCAAATCACTCAAGCACAATCCCATGAAAATCAAATGAATCCCATGACCTTACAAAGTTCTGTGTCAGCAATGCAGCAAAACAATAATATGGCAAGCATGCAGCAGACCAATAATATGGCAAGCATGCAGCATAGTTTATCTGGTGTTTCGTCGCCACAGCAGAACATGATGAACTCAATGCAGGCAGGTTCTAATCTTGATTCTGGACAGGGAAATGCTATGGCCTCATCGCAACAGGGTGCTATGGGGTCTCTACAACAGAATCCTAGTTCTTCCCAGCCCGCAAGTCTCAGCTCCGTGTCTTCACAAAGTGGGTTGACTATGTTGCAGCCAAACCTTCCTCTTCAGTCAAATTCGAACAATATGCTTCAGCACCAGCATCTGAAGCAGCAGCAGCCGCATGATCAACAGATATTACAGTCACATCAATTTAAACAACATCAACAGCGTCAGATGCAGCAACAATTAATGCAAAAGCAGCATATGATTCAGCAGCAGCATCAACATCAACAACAGCTGCAACAACATCAACAGCAGCAGCAGCAACAAAATCAGCAAGTAAAGCAGCAGCAACAAATATCACAGCTACATCAGATCAATGATGCAACTGACGTGAAAATTAGACAAGGTTTGGGAGTTAAACCAGGCGTGTTTCAGCAGCATCTCTCATCCAGTCAGCGTGGTGTTTACCCTCAGCAGATGAAGTCTGGCGCCACTTTTCCCATCTCTTCGCCTCAGCTGCTTCAAACTCCTTCGCCACAGTTACCACAACATTCTTCTCCACAGGTTGACCAGCAGAACCTACTGTCTTCGCTTCCAGGAACTGGAACTCCTCTACAGCCTGCAAATTCACCTTTTGTTGTCCCATCGCCTTCCACTCCTTTGGCTCCATCTCCTATGCCTGGAGATTCCGAGAAACCAGGGATTTCTTCCCTTTCGAATGCTGGTAATGTTGGACACCAACACCCATCATCTCTTGCGATTGGCACTCCTGGGATCTCTGCTTCACCATTGCTTGCAGAGTTCTCTGTTCCTGATGGGGCTCATGGCAATGCTTTGACAACTGTCTCTGGAAGGCCATCTGTTTCAGAGCAGCCACTTGACCGGTTAATTAAAGCGGTTAGTCATCTCTCCAATTTGTATCCTCCATTCTTTCATCTTCAACCAATTTTCAAAAATGAAGGGTTTGTTTGGGTTGATGATTGGTGCAATGGGTAGATTGTTCCAAATAGACAGATTGTTGAATGGATTTATCTTAAAGTAGACAGATTGGAAGAATGTACTGTTTGGATTAATGTTTTAATCTACGTATGATGGGGTGGATTTGAGTAATTTCCAATTAAAATACCAAGTTGCCCTTATGGGTCACTTTATAGAGCTCGACTGAGCCTGGGAATTTTCTAGAAAAGAAAGAGACAGGACGTTAATACTTACGAGTGGATACTGGAGTGCATGTCTTCTGATTCTCCCCTTGTCTGTTTCCTGAAATTTATGGTCCCAATAAATCACCCTTTTTTGGTAGATTTAGTGACAATTTACTACAATCATCAATCCAAGCAAAACCTATTTAGTGCCTTGTACGCTTTTTGCCGAGCTTGTTCCTTGTGAGTGGGAGTTACAATATACTTGTTGTATCAGGTGAAGTCTATTTCTCCCAAGGCATTGAATGCAGCTGTGAGCGACATTGGCTCGGTCGTCAGTATGATTGACAGAATTGCAGGATCAGCCCCGGGTAATGGATCTAGAGCAGCAGTAGGTGAGGATTTAGTGGCGATGACTAAATGCCGTCTTCAAGCAAGAAATGTCATCACTCAAGATGGTATTAGTGGGACGAGGAAAATGAAGAGATACACGAGTGCCATGCCTTTGAATGTCGCGTCGTCTGCCGGCGGCGTGAGCGACAGCAAGCAGTTGAGTGGACCAGAGACTTCTGATCTCGAGTCGACTGCAACATCTGGTGTCAAGAGGCCTAGGTTGGAGGTAAGCTTTCGGTATCAGCTCAGGTTGTTTAAGACCACAACTCACAGAACTTGTTTTGGCACCAGCTACTCTTAAATGTTGGATTTCTTCATTCTTTCCAATGTCTAGCTACATTTACACAATGTTCTGTTTGATGACCTAGATTCTTACTATTCAATCCTAATTGGCTTGGTAAAAAAGATATCGATTCTCCACTCCCTCTAGTGAGATTATGAGACGAAAGAAAAAAAAACTGATAGCTTAGTGCATGTAGGAGAAGAATAACTTTTACCTCACTTAGATTTGATTCCAATGCACCAATTCAATGCATACACTAAAATATGGATGAATGGATTGTTGGAAATTACAGTTTAGTATTTATATATATATATTACAATTTGATGCCTAAACTTCAATTTTTATGAAAAATATTCATTGAAAATTGCATGTTGCTACCTAAAATTCTTTATAATGGCATTTTAGTACCTAAACTTTTCAAAATTTTCATAATGGTCCAAGGGTTAGATGCCAGTTGGATCCATGAATTCAATCCTTGAATGTTGAATCCATTTAAACTAGTCCATGAATCCAATCACATGCTGATCCAATTGAGCAACAGGCTTCAAGCTATTATATGCTGATTGGTCATAATGCTCTCCTGCAGGCAAACCATGCGCTTTTGGAAGAGATAAGGGAGATAAATCAGGGACTTATTGACACTGTGGTTGATATCAGCGATGAAGATGTCAATCCAACTGCAGTAACTGCTGCTGCTGCTACTGAAGACGGTGGGGGAGGAACTTTAGTAAAGTGTTCATTCAGTGCGGTAGCCCTTAGCCCCAACTTGAAATCGCAGTATGACTCGGCTCAAATGGTCAGTGTTTCACAATCTTTGTTGACATCAAGCCTTTGCTATAAAACTGCCTACTCATTTTCCCTCCTTTTCACAGTCACCAATTCAGCCTCTCAGATTGCTTGTGCCTATGAACTATCCAAATTGCTCCCCAATTCTACTGGACAAGTTCCCTGTTGAAGTCAGGTAATAAATGAGGGTGGGTGTATTTGTTATTATCTTCTTGCACGTTGAGCCTTTTCCAGCTCGTTTTTACCTCATTACCTGTGTCGACCTTGATGTGCAGCAAGGAGTACGAGGATCTATCGGTGAAGGCCAAGTCGAGATTCGGCATTTCTCTTCGTAGCCTCTCGCAACCAATGTCTCTCGGGGACATCGCACATACTTGGGATGTATGTGCCAGGGCAGTGATCTCAGAGCACGCCCAGCAGAGCGGCGGAGGTAGCTTCAGTTCTAAGTATGGCACCTGGGAGAACTGCTTAAGCGCTGCTTAATACATGGGAGAACAAAAAACTACTGTAAATATTATGATGGCAGGAAGGCGTTCTTGCGGTGTCAATAAAATGATCTGATTAAAATGCAGCAATGATCGAAAGGACAATTACATTTTGATCTATTAAGTTATCCTCATAATATATATCATAATTCCCTAGTTTATCACTTGTTTGCCCATATGGCCATATCTACTTTCCTCCCTGTTTTCTGCTGCGCTTCTTCCTCTTATCCTTCTTTTTTCTTCTGCTCTTCCTTTTCCTCCACTGGTATTAGTACTGGGAACTCTTCGTTGTCAGCCTCTTTCTGGGCAATGTCAGCTTTCATCAGTTAAGTTTCAGCAGCCTTGATACCGGCGGTGCCAGTGCAATAACTGTTTCGAATGGTCTGTCTGCAACATTTAAAACCCCAACGATGATCCTCTACCTTCCACCATGAACCCCACACAGTCTTATGGTTGTTGATATAGACATCTTCTTCGTACTTACTTCTGGGAAGCTGCACATCCGCGCATCCCTCGCGAACAACTCTCCCAGCACGATCGTACTCGTCTTGCCTTTCACTCTGCCCCAGCAAAACTTCTCTCGGGATCCCATCTCGGCTATTCGCAGCAGCATTCCCGTACTTCTCGAGCAAATCGTCCTTGGCTCGAGCCTCCAGTTCCTTTCTCTTCACCTGAAAGTTCCTGTACAACAACTCTGCTTGGGTAGGAGCAGCTTGCAGCAAGTGCCCTTCCTCCCCCCTCGACAAACGACTTTCGAGCTGCTTCAACTCCCCAGCTTCACCACTGTCTCTGTACCTGTTGTCCCCCCAATAGAACTTGTCATTCGGATCCGCATCTGGAAGCGGATCCCCACGCATCGAACGGGTTTTCGGATCATAATGTGCAGATTCGGCACCGAGATTCAATAGATACTTGGCTTTATCTTCCCGAATTCGCAGGTTCCTAACAGTTCCTGTACTACCACCACCACCACTCCTCACCCTCTTCTCAACTTTACCAAAGCAGTCCATCTGCTCGGACTCATCAACTCTCAAGTCACTGCCTTCATTCCCTTCCACCACAAACACTCTCCTAGCTGCATCACGAGCCTCGCTCGTACCGCGCAACAACATCACGATCGTACCTCGCTGTATCATACCCGTTCCAACGGTCACGCTTGCTGGCGTAATTATGCTCAATAGTCTCATCGGAGGCAATGTGCTTGTTAGTCCACTTGGCCCCTGATTTCCTAGGTCTCTCTACGCAGGCTTTGGCGTCGTGCGACATGGCTCCACAGTTCTCGCACGCGCCTTTCCTGTATTTCTCTGCCTGAAATACTTTCGCACCTCGATCATACCACGCTGATTCGGTATTGTGAATCGGAGGAGCATCGGACGGATTCTTCCGTTTCCTTTGGTGCTTCAGACCTGGTAGTTTCTTCTCGGGGTTCAGATACCATGGCGCGGAAGCCATGTAGTGAGGGATGTGAGGATTGATCTCGTTCCCGTCTTCGTCAACCTCGGGATGGACGAGCCCAGCTTTGCGGGCTTCTTCCAGTTCCTTCTGCTTCCTGTAATCTTCCCTGGATTTGATTGCCATGACGCCGGCCGTCTGGTGGAAACGAGAATCCGGTCTTCCGATCGCCGGAGTTTGATTGCAGTGGCCACTAGGAAACCCTAAAGAAAAACGGAAGGAATTCGCTATCGCCGGAAAGGACGACCGGAAACTATGTGTGAATCAACTTATCAACATACGGGCAAAAATAAGGGGGGCAAGGCAACCGTTTAAAAGCAGGAGTTTCTTTTTGCTCTACTTCGACAAGGATTCCTATTCCAATTCGGAGAAAAACGAACGATTAAAGAGTGAATTAGTTTTTTACCAAAAAGAAGAAAAAAAGTACATGGATCTGGTTCGGGATTGGTCATTTTAATCACCCGACTCATATAATACGATTTTGAAAATGTTAAATCCAACCCAATCCAAGAAAAATTAAAACCCTACAATTTGTTTATGATTGAGTTTGGTAGGATTGGAGATACTTTTAATTAAATATCCAACCCAATAAAAAAAGGCAACAATTATACACTATGAAAATATTATATAAAAAGATTTTAAACAAGTAAATGAAGGAAAAAGTTTCAATATGCATAAATATTGTTTGGTTTTAATGAAATGAAATTTACTTCAACATATGTCTAGTTTGTTTCATAAATATTTGTCAAAGTAAGCTAAAGTAGTTATAAGTTAACATATTCATAATATATTCTTCTTCTATAATTGTACACACAAGAAAAAAAATTATGTGAATTATAGCTTATATTAAATTAACGTCTCAATATTAAGTTGAAGAATGTATTAGACTAGAGAAACCACAAGAGAAAAATATGATAATATAGTTAATTTTCTCACATATATGTTTATTTACGACACAAATATGTGTTGTATACGAACACTTATGACAATAGTTCAACACTAGTTGGTCGGGTTCTACGGGTTGCGTTACCCAAAATCCGAACCCAACCCAATAGAGGCGGGTTGTACAAAAAAAAACTCACATCCAAGCTTAAACTTTAATTTTAAAGATAAGTACGAGTGGGTCGGTGTAGACGGGTAAGTCGATTTAGTTTTGTTCACCCCTACTATTTAACAATGTTAGCATAACCCATACATTTTGGTATCTGTTGCTTATGGCAATATAACTCATTCTTTGTTTTAATTGTTTTAGAGTTGATCGATCACCACGTAATTTGTACTGAGGTATGAAGGTCATTAGATATGTTTTATGAGGTTTATGAACAAAATATATATTCATGTATCATCAGACAAGTTCGGGTTTGATGGTGACAAAATTATGTTCATTTATTACCCACAATTACAATATTCAGTTTTGGATAATATTATCCATACCGAATTTGAATTTTATCCTATTCATTAGGTTGGATTCGAACGGATATTCATGATTGTGAATATTTTTACAATGAAAAATAATCTTTAAAAATATAATATTTTAGGAATGTACTGTACCCATCAAAAAGCGGGTGTAAAGCTCTAGGGGTGGGAAACGGGATGGGATTGGGTACCCGTCCCGTTTGAAACTGACTCGATCCGAATATCACAATAATTTCCCGCCTAAGGCCCAAGTATAAACCTTAGTCGGGTGCAGTATAGGATATGTGTTTTTAAATATCAACCCGGGCCGGTCCGTCTACCCCTACTTCAGTCATTTGAGTCATTATCTAGCAACAAAGTTTTGGTTTAAAAGTTTGCTAACTAAAATAAAACAATGCAAAGGTAATTGGTTTTGAAAACTCTTTGTGGGAAGATCACTCGTGTGTCGCTTCCCCCTAACTACTACCATGGTATGTGAACCGAAATGATCGCTATGGGCGAGGCAATCGCTAACCGCTAAGGGACGCAAATATGGTCGTAGACCATGCTCATGATTGCTACACCAAGGCATGCATTATAGGTTGTCACTAGGCCCTCTCAGTCTAGGCAATCAATGGTTGACTTACTCCCTATCTCAATCCCAAGGGTTGTGCGGCTTAATTGCGCTTAACCAAATTGCTTAATCCAATATTAAGGTTTGCCATAAATTAACCTAGTTAGAAGACTTAAAAAGTCCTAGGGATACCAACTCAATTGAGACTCCCATGGAAGGGGGGTTTCCCTCTCTAGTCTAGGTTAAGTGGCTAGTTAGATTGCTAAGCATAGACATGCACAATCAAGATGAATAATACCTCAATCATTGAATTAAATAATACCCAATGACAATCATTCAGTTCACATAAAAGAAAACTATATGGTAGAGTTAGGGTTTCACAACACCCAAGTGAAAGGAAATCTAACTCCATGCTAGGAATGGGGAAAACACCCGGAGAAGAGGTGGAAACCATCTTGGAGGATGCTCCTAATCTTCTTGGTCCTTGTGTTGAACTTTCCTTGGAGGAAATCTTCCCAAAATCCACCTTGAAGCAAAACCCTAGCCGTCTTCTACTTTGGTTCGTGTTTCTCTCTTTAGAAATCTGAAGAAGGATTTTCACACAAATGGGCTCTCTCTTCTCTCCTCCTTTCAGCTCATCATTTAAACCAGAGACGAGCTCAGTTCACGGCCTGAGTTCACGGTCGTGAACCATGAAACACGTCTGTGAATTGCAAGCGTGCGCCAAAACACACTGCTTCATTCACTTCTGTTCACGGTCTTAGTGACCGTGAACTCACCTTGCGTCAGTAACCTCTGGGAATTCTCTGGACGCCTTGAGTTGCACGGTCAATGGCTCTTCTTCACGGTCATACAAGACCGTGAATTTCCTAGGAAAGCCGTGAACTGGTCATTTTTCACCTCTTCTCTCGGTTTTCGATCCTTTTCGTCCAACTTTCGACTCCGATACTAGTTTCACCTGTTGAATCCCGAAACATGCTAAAACACGAGAAACCTAGCGTAAAACCAACCTTTTAGGAGCGAATTTGCCACAAACACCTAAGTAAAACAGGGGTAAAACATGTACAATTAGGCCCGAATCACTCCCCCACACTTTGACGTTTGCTTGTCCCCAAGCAAACCATTTCACACAAGGTAATATTTCAACCTACACAAATACTTTGGGGAAAACTCAAAGGGCACAAAGTGGGAATTCTCAATGGTTATTGGCAATCAACACATGGACCGTTGCAAGCAATACCGACATCCACCACAAACGACATTCAAAGCCACCAAAAACGGGCAAACGAAAAGTTCTCACCTTGTTCATGGATCAATGCAAGTCTCAACAAGACCACTTATCAACCACAACCAACCATGCATGGAATTCAAGTCGAAAGAACAAATGGAAAGGCAAAAAGGTCCTCACCGGGGTATGATATGGCAAGTAAAACAAGAATGAATCACTTAGTCTCAAGACCAGTGGGGTCGGGACCTTTTTGGTGCAAAAGATGTGCACAATCATAACCTCTCAGCCCTATCATCTTAATACCATGGTGGCAACCTCTAAATGCTAGAGTTCACGGAATGGTTGTCATTAATAGCTTGTACGGAGGTCTTAACCATGGGTTCATATGACTGGCGATTGTCTTGGACATGGGGAAAAGGCTTTTTGGGTGGTGGTAATCATGACGTGAGGTTCTACATCTTCAACCTAAACCTGAAGGTTCTATGGTTTCGACTAAAATCCTTCTCTTCAACCAAAGGCCACTAGCATTGGCCGAAAACCTTATCTCTCCCTTCCAAACTATCACCCGTCGTGAACTACGTCGAAGCACTCTTCCTCGGTAAACTCTTGGTAGCACATTAAGGTTTGGTAGTGAATGAGTTCTAAAACAATGTGGGGGTTTCGATGGCTTGGGTGCCAAGAAACCCCTCCTAGAGCATACACTTTGGTTTTTTCGTGGCACTCTCTACTTTATTTACCCCATTTTATTACCTCTTTTTCGTTTCTCTTTTCTTTTGGGGGGGGGGGGGTATTAGAGAATAAAACCTTGCCACCTATACATTTGACAACCAATACTCTCTATTTGAAGAACTCACTCCAACACTACACTTCATTTTTCATTCCTAGCAAGAACCGCACACAAATCTCCTATGTAGAACCTCTATGGAACTCAAAAGCGAAAGTTCTGGGACACAAGGACGACTCATGTTTAGACACGAAGAAAGGATTGGGGGTCGTTCTATTAACACCACTAAGCTCACAAGCACGAAGCTCCTAAATCGAGAACGACCCTGAAAGTCACAAGGCTCAAAGGGGTTGACTAAAGGATGACAGATTTCGGGACAGTCAACATTTGGGCCTGGACTCATCCTATGCCTCCATCATAATCGCTAATGACAACTGTGATGCTACACACTGTGGTAAGAGGGAACTATCACACTAGAAGAAAACGATCGGCTCAAAACTCACAGGCTACCCAGTTACCCAACCATCTATTCCAATTCATAAACACGATGCATGGCAATTGTAAGAAAAAAGTGATCAAGTCAAGACATTCATTCATTTATGCACACCTGAGAACTAAACTTTTGCTCTATCCTAATGAACTTCTCAGTCATAATCATAGGGTATACTCAATCACATGCAACAATTCAAGATCAATGCCCATAAACACGAGAATTTCCCACCATCCGGCCACTTTGATATGCAAACATTGCTTGGAGCCCTCAAATTTTTGAAATTTGGGCATACAAAAGGCTCCAAATTGCACTCACACAAGCATACTAGTAAACTACCCCCCCCCCCTCCCCCACTTAAACTTGACATTGGCCTCAATGGCGTAAGAAAGGGGTAGAATGATGTTACCGCTTGGGCTTGGTGAGTGAAAGTTGGAATCGAACCGGGGTAGGATAATTTGAGCTTCAAGGAGAGACTAAAACACACACAAACACAATACGACTCGCTCGAGGTGTGGTTATTACAAACACAATACGATAGTAGTAGTAGGACAAACTTGCTAACCTCCGCTGGGTTGCCTCCCAACAAGCGCTAATTTATCGCCATTAGCTTCACGGTTGGGGATTGATCACGACTTGGGTCGTGATGCTTCCGAGAGCGGATCCACCACACTCTCGGGGCGAGGCTTGTAGCCTCCTGTCTTAGGCTCCATGA